TCGGTGAGCAAGGACTCCTCAGAGGTGGTTTCCCATAGCCCTCGGGCCCTAGGACATCTGCCTAAGCTGTCTAGCAGCCAAACAGAGACTTGTAAACAGCAACCCTCTTCATGCACTCTGCAGTCAGTCAAACCAAGGCACACTCTCGCCCCCCACCTGCAAAATGTCGGAGGCCACCACATACTTTGTCAGTCCAGACAAAGTGTATGCGAACTGCTGGCAGCTGAGGTCCTCCAGCTTCGTCTGGTCGAGGGACCTCGCAAGTTCTTTGTTGAGCAGGCGGAAGAGGCCCTGCTTGTCCTCCGTAGCCTCCTCGCTGTCCGCATCAGAGCTCTCGTCCGACTCAGAGGAACGGCCTGCATTGGCACGGATACAGCAAAAGTTGTTGCAACAATCCTGGCAAAAAGACCCAATCCAGAACTGAACATGCTCCCGTTCTCAAATCACAGAAGCACGGTCCTTTCTTGCTGGACTTCTCCTTCTTCTTTTTCTCTTTCTTCTCACTCTTGCCAAGCTTGCCGGATCCTGCACAGATGCACATCGGGTCCCTGGCTCTGCCATGCTCGGCCTAAACCGGACTAGAGAAACTGCAGCAGGAGGCAGGCCTGTTAGGGCCTTCTCCAACTCTTGGTGGGCCGTGTTCATCAAGAACCGATGGGCATTCGGAGGGCTCGAGGAATCGGCCCCCGTCTCCGAGGCCAACGATCGTGTGCTCTGGGTCCTGGACAATCATAAGGAAAATCAAAGCTAAAATTGCAGAAGACTATATAGGGAATAAGGATTACTGGGCACATATATCTAGTCTAGCCTCGCATTCTGCTACTGTTTCGGCGGCTAATCCGCCAAGTCGCGGGCTATCCGCGATTTCGCAGCAGTCGCGTTCTATCCGCAACTTTCCTACATTACCGACTCTGATACAGATGCCTAAGTCGCGAGCTATCCGCAGGTCTTCTACTAACTGTACTGTCAATCGCGGCTATTCCGCAATTCGCCGCGCTATTCCAAGAATTCGCGGCTAGTCCGCGACTGGCGGCTAGTCCGCGAAACTCGCAGATAGCCTGCTCATCCTATGGCTTCGCGGCTAGTCCGCAATTCCGCCAGTTAATGAGTTACTGCGGTATAGCTACAGATCTCAAATGAGCTTGAAGCCCTAAACCCATCATCCTACTGCCATTCAAAATAATCGCTTACATTGGCCACACACTAGATCGCGGCTAGTCCGCAATTCGCAGCTCATCCAATAATTCGCGGCTAGTCCGCGATTCGCGGCTATTCCGCAAGACTCGCAGTTACCATCCTCTTCCTGTGGCTTGGCAGCTAGTCTGCAAGTCCAGTACTAAAGGCGATACTCAAGAATAGCTACACGTGTCCAATGAGCTAGAAATCCTAAGGCCATCATCCTACTGCAATTCAAAACAATCACTTACAGTATCCATCTACAAAGGTAAATAAAGCTTCTGACCAGCCTTAACATGACAATTCCTCCCAGAGTGTCCTCCTCACCTTGCCAGCCACCATGACAACGAGGAAAGGGGCTGCCCACTCCCCAAAAAAACCAAGGAGCTGCTGGCATGGGCAATCTCCAAGGCACTCTGCCAAAGAAACAGACTTGCAATGACCTCCCTCAGCACTGCCCACTCTGCAAATCAACTGGCATCCTGCAACCCAAGCCTTACCTCGCCCTCCGGGCAGTCAAGCTGTTAAGTACTAGCACATATTCCGAAATCAGGACATCGATCAATGGATGAAGACAACCAGACAGTCTGGAGAGCAGTGACAGAAAGGCCGAGGAGGCATGGAACTGTGACCTTTTGATCATCATCCGGGTTAGTCCAAGAGGCTTGTGCCTTTCATGCACAAATTTGATGATAACTAAGACTAGTCGCTCGGCCACCATCTGGTTTAATTACCAATTGAGCATCTCCGCACAAACGCAACCACGATGAGCAGCTTCAGCCGTGGCAAAGAGCCTTGCCTCAGCAGCTGAGGGGTGCTTTGTATCAACACATCGGTAAAGCAAAGACACCGGAGCCAAAGCTGAAGTGCCGTCCATGCTGCAACGAAGCACTGCCCCAGAAAATGAAGCCAATGAGAATATCTCGGCCTCAGGCAAACATTCGGCAAAGCAATGAAGCAGTGCACAATTTTTCGCAAAGACTGAATTTGCCGCCGGAACGGCAGCCACAAGCAAAGCTTTGTTGTTGTTCCAGAGCTAGAGAGATGGAAACCGAATTTTGCACCACCAAAAGAACGAGGTGATACATGAATCACATAGACTCAGAGCAAGCAAGTGCACAAAGTTCAAAGCCAGAAGCCATGTATCGTTTGAACTGCTAGTGTGCAGACAGGATAGGGGATGTATTGCGATTGCAGCACAGGCACGTCTAGAGCACTTCCCAGACCTCCCCGTCATGGATCACGACCGGTGGGGCCAAGGCATCGTTGCCAGCAGCAAGCCGGCCGCAAGGGCAACGAATCAAACGAGCCTCTGAAACAGAAGAACAAGCGCATCAGAATAATTCAGGCTGGGCCACTTCTTTTACAACAGGGCCTAAGCCAGACTGATGCTACCGATACAAACCCAACAATCAGACTTGAGGCAGGCAGCAGGGATGTCTGGCACCATCAGTCTGCGTCTGCGAAACACGGGTAGGAGGTCCACACAATCATCATTGCCTTCAAACCGATGATCGTTGTCCTTGATGCAAACACAAAATAATGACAATCGGGCAACAGACCGAATCATGGCATGAACCATGCAAGCCTCTACTTGCATCGGGCCGGCCTCGTGCACCAAGGTCGTCAAGACGGTGTCCAATCGTTCGCCCAAGGAAGCACGAAGTTGGAACACGGGAACAGAGTGTCGGAGCGAGAGCAACAAAGCCACCTCGGTGAAACACAATATAGAGTGTAATTCTTCAGAAACCCTGTGGAATCGCAGAAGCTAAAGCCATCGAGGCTCGGCACGACCGAACGTGTGCGGATATGCCTGCGAGGCTGGCATAGACCCACGTTTGCCCCGATAGCCACCGCCAGGGGTGCGATGGCAGAGCCTCTCTGTGGCACGGGACAGAAACCTCAGAAGCATTTCGAATAAACAGGCATGCACAAGACCTCTACTCCAGGTGAACAATCCGAATTTGCGGGGAAGCATCGCTCGCTCCAGCTCAGGATGAGTTCCAAGGAATCGGAGGCAAGTCAAAAGGAAAACATCCGACCCGATGAGCTGTGTCGGCTTCCTCGGCAAGTCAACAAAGTAGGAAATCGCAGCGGATGCGAGCAGGAACAAATAACAATCAAATAGCAGTCCAGCAGCGGTGTGGGAGCTCCGAAAGCACCCATGTTGAAGGTTATGCGAAGGTGACCACACTGGTGAAAAACATCCTGCAATGGACAATGCATAGAAGCATGAAAGGCATCCGCTTCACTGGCGTCTGCAACTGCTCATTACATGCAGGTCCCGCATTGCCCTGAGCTGCGGCATGTAAGATGCCAGGGGCTGCTCGTAGATGCAGAAGATTCTTGCATGCAAGCAAAAGAGCTGGCAATGGCTGTCAAACTCCTAGGCTGCGGAGTTTACAGCAAAGAAGGAAAGCATTTGCCACACTCCAAAACACTCGTGCAAACACCCAGCATTGCAACCGAGCTGCAGCAATCTCGTTGCCTTCAGCAACAGCTGGCAGTGCCAAGTTTCCCGAAGGATCGAGGTGCCTCTCCCTTGGCAACTGCACACACCCTTTCGCTTTACGAACCTCTGGCAGGAAACCGCTGCCCCACAAAGACATTTTCTTTAGGTGAGTTTCGTGCTTCCGACTGCGCAATTAAGAAAGCTGCTGCACTTCGGCGCTGAAAATCGCACACCACCCTGCTTGACGGCTGCCAAAAGCCGTAAGCCTCACGAGATGTGAAATGAGTTACCTGCCTGAAAAATCTGCTGCCCGACTCACACTGCACAAAGGCAACACAGCCCATCAAAGCCAGGACACAAAGGATCTTGCCCCTGTGGCTTAAGACATTCTGCATGGGGTCTCGGGCGATGTCATACACAGCCACCATGAACCCGGCCTGAGATTCGTGTGTGCAACAGCCAACAATACTGAGACAACTTGCTGTCCAGTTCTAATGAACACAAGGACAATGTCCAGAACACTTCTGATTGTGCCAAAGGAACTTCCTGAACGGCATTCGATAGCCTTGCCCGACCGGCGAAGCACTCGAAAAAATCCACATAGCGAAGCGGCGAGCCCTCGGCCATGTACTCAGCACTGAACACCTGTGGTGCTGCCTCGTCCAGCAGCTCGCAGAAAGAAGCCGGCAGTGCCGAACGGTCGACCATTGCTTTGACTAAGCCAACTAAATCGCCAAATTATGTGAACACATCACCCGCTAGGTCTGAAGATCTCATGTTGCCTGATCTTTCCCAACTGCAAGGCAAAAGCCTGAAGCCATAGGGCCGCACGATCACGAGCACCTTCTAATATGGAACTGATAACCAACATCCGAAGCAGAACGCTGAACGGTACAAGCACGGTACCCCAAGCAGAATGGCAATGGAAACCTATGAATAAAAGGAGCCACAACGGAGACTGTTCACTACTTGGAGGATCATGGGACTTAGTAGATACGCTGACAAGTACCTTAATTGGGGTTATAAGTATAGTTGCCCTAGTTATAACTCGAGTTACTAAGTCCCATGATCCTTTGAGTAAGCCTAAAACCCTTGTTATAGAGCCCTTATTATAGATCCCCTTTAAGGGACACTTTAAGGAACCCTAGTTACTAAGTCCCATGATTCGTGATCCTTTGAGTAGTCTGTGAGAGGTTTAGCATTTCAAATTTTTCGAGACGAACAACTCGGCATTGCGGCTACATTGGTTCCGGGCTTCGGGTATTTAGGGAGACCTTTCGGCACGAGTTTGATTAGAAGCCAAGTGTTTTGGTAAGGTTTTGAAGAAGAATCGGGCGGCTTGATGTGTTCCAGCCCCTGCCACTCTCTGCAGGAGTTGCGGAAGTGCATCTCCCGAAGCTTGGCTCTTCTTGGTAGTCAGGGGCCAGGGGGACCTGGAGTAGAGGTCTTTAACATAAGGAGGCTACTATCTGCGGAAGTCTATGTAAGTCTTGAATCTCTGGAGCTTCACGTCCCCACATCCCCACAGCTTTCCGCGTTTTGTCATGGCTTTTGGGCTTCTCCGTGCGACCAATAGAGGCGGCGTGTGACACGGAAGAAATCAGAGGCATGATGCCATTTCAGAGCAGTTTCGACTGACCTCCTTTCTGAAAGCCGCAGACTCAGTGGTCCAGGCATCAGTAATTAGGCGCGTTGGCAGGCGCACCGGGATGATTATGGCCCTGTTTTTGCTACATTTGGACCCATATGTCGTCAGCCCGGTGCTCAAACTTTCTTAAAGCCGAGCAGCATTCCGGAACCCTACATGCTGTCACTGTAATAACCCGCAGAAGTCAACCTCGGCATTCGAAGCCTTAAACCTTGAGCCCTACCTGGAACCTAAAAAGCCTATCTCTTTAGGGTCCGGGCGATAAAGAAGGAACAACACATTATAATCGTTAAATCCCTAAACCTATAAAGAGTAGGCCCGATTTTTTCTTATAAAGACCTCGGACGACTCCGAGGCAACCACTTCAGCCTTTCCTGGGCCGGCGCCCTGCAGTTCACCCGGCTGTCGGCGACTTGGGAGCATCTTTACGGGCGGCGGTTTAGGGTTTAGGGTTTGGGGTTTAGGTTTAGGGGGGGTTGGGGTTTGAGGACAGGGTATCTTTAGGGGTGGGGGTTTATGGTAGAAGCCCAAAAGTTGGAAACCCAATAGCCTCAATCCTCAAGAGCAGTGCATAGGGTTGCCAACTTTATGGGGTTTATTGTAGGGTTTTTTGTGTATCTTTAGAGGTGGAGGTGTGGAATCTGTCTCCCTCTCCGTCGTCCTCACTGCCTCACCAAACCCCAGGCCTAACCCCTATAACTTTGTTCCCTAAGGCACCCAACCGCGAACCCTAAATCGCCCCCCAGGTGAACTCCATCTTCGTCAACCAGGCTTGGAAGGATCTACATATGGTCTCCGGTGCACTTCCCTTCTGGGTTAAACCAATGTCAGACCTAGGATCCTATAAGGTAACCTGAAAACGAACCCATGATGGAGGTTTTTTGTACTAGCTTTCAGGATTTTAGCCTCATGTTAGCGAGCTCCTATATGGGCACCCTAGTGACGCAAGTGCTGAAGCTCGAAACATTTGTTCCTTACGGGTTCTTTAAGAATCCTGCAAGGTTCTATTGCTAGGATCCTATACGGCTTCTTCGTCTATGCTGGAAGGTGCTCGAGGGTTCGCATGGAACTTGGAACCCCAATGCTGATCGCCAATGCTGGTCGGTTTCGGGTTTAGGGTATAGGCTGGTAGCTTCGGAGCCTCATCCAGCCCTCCACAGAAGACATGAAACCATCAACCTGAGCATTCCGGGTACGACCTTACCAACCTCCCGCGCCACGCTCAACTCTACAGCGCTCGCAGCAATTTTCGAAGCTTTCTTCAGCCTGTAACTTGTCATTTCGTATCCTTCAACCTGAAGTCGTAAACCGTGCAAACCCCTTGATCTATCAGTGGCCTTCAGTAGCCTCTCACTGTCTTCCTTTGCCAGATCTTTGCACCGGTGAACGGCACCATGCCACTGCGGCTGCAAAAGTCTTGGGTTTACTTGGAGGATCACGGGAAGTAGTAAGTACGGTTATAAGTACCTTAATTGGGGTTATAAGTATAGTTACCCCAAATATAACCCCAGTTACTAAGTCCCGTGATCCTTTAAGTAGGCTTTAGGTCTTCGGAGTCGGAGGGATGCAGTGCAATTTCGTACGACTTTGCGTTTGAGCTTGGCGTCTGGGCTGAGTTGCTGCTTGTTTGGACTCATCCTACGCTCCGGGCCCCAGACCAGACCAATGCCCCAACCTAAACCCTGTAAGCCAAAGAGCTCCTGAATCCTATACATCCCTTTGAAGGCACCGAAATCCTAAACCCTAAGCCCTAAATTCCCGGAAGCAATATAAACATATAGACATCAACTCTCGACCAAAGTGCCCGATGCAGCGCGACGCACTCTTCCGAGAGGTTTATGCCACCCGGTGCGATGCTTTACCTCTGCAGCAATACGGACGATGCCTTCAAGGCTCCCTCTGACATAGCACGGGGGCCTTGATTTTGGGGATTGGGAGGTGGATGCAATTCGTAAGTATTCCGACCGATATATATATATATATATATATATATATATATATTTTTTTTTATTTATATAAATATATATATATATTTATTTTTGTATATATATATACACATATATATATATATATATATATATTTATACATATAGTGAAGTTGGGAGCTTGTAAAGGGCGGTTTTAGGTTGTTTCTGGAGGGAGTTTGGCGGGGTCAAGGAGCCTCGGGTGTGAAGGCATGAGGCATTCAGGTTGGAAGGGGCCCCCACCCTGTAATAGTGGTATAACAGGAATATAATGGGGCCCTTATAGTGGTATAATAGGAATATAATAGGGCCCTTATATAATCCTTATAGTCACTATTTCAGGGTGGGGGCAGCTTCTAACATTCAGGGCTTGAGAGTGTCTTCCCTATAAACATAAGGGGGTTCTTGCGGAGTGAGATATGGTTGGTCCAGAATTTCGTCTCCAGTGATTTCTTCATCTGGTATTCGGTGGCACTGTCGGGATTCAGGGTTTCGGGTTGATGTTGAGTCCTTGCAGTTTGCACAGGCGCTCCACTCCGCGGCTTGTTTGCGAATTCGAGTTTCGCCTGCAAATCTCCTATAAGCCTTTGTCTGTGGTCATAGGCCGAAGGCATTCAACGAAGGTGCTTTCAACAACCCTGCTGCAGAACCCGTTATGCAAAAACTACGGAACCTTGCTTGCAGACCGTCTTCATTGAAGCAGAACCCTCTCAAAAACCTTCCAACACTTTCATTCGAAAAAAGCGCTGCAAGCCCGAAGCCCAAAACCCTGAAGCCAAAACCCCAGTATCCGAAACACATCCCTTGAAGTAACCCTGTAAGGACTCCTTCAAAGGAGCCGTATATAGAACCCTGATATCCGGAACATATCCCTTGTAGTAACCCTTTCGGGACCCCTTAAAGGACTCTTATAGAACCCTATACCCCCAAAATCCCAAGCCGGTCTTCAAACTCCCAGGCGCACGCGCGGAAGCAGCGAGCTCCCTGTCGGGAGCCCAACAGGGGGTCTCTGTCTCTACTATTTGCTTAAGAACCCCCAAAAAATAAAAAATATATTCCTTATGGGGGTAATATAGGGATGATTATTTCTATTTTTTGGGGGGGTTTCTTAAGCAAATAGTAGGTCTGGGTTCTTCCTACCGGGGCCATGGGTTCTTTTTAGGGCATTGGGTTTGGGGCTCTATGGCTCCATAATCATAAGGGTTACTGTAAGGATGCTATAGAGGTCACTAGGTCACCATAAGGGCTCCATGAACAGAACCCAGCTGTTGCAGGAGGCTTGGAAAAGTTGGGGTTTATACAGGTTTTGGAGTTTCCGTCATTTGGATTAAAAATGTTTGCTTAGAATTCTGCTTAGGGTATTTTTTGTGAATTTGTGCAAGTTTTTCTGGCTCTTGCTTCAAGGTTTAAGGTGTGCAGGGTTTAGCAAGGTAAGGCTGAAGGGTGCAGACCAGAAGGGGCGACGTCTGCAGGCGCGAACCCGCTCGAGATGATGTCGTTCATGGAGGAGGACACTCGAAATCCAAGGTTGCCTTTTGAAGGGTCCAGGGCTTGGAAGTCCTAAACCCTAAACCCTGGGGGGTGTATGAACCCTACTATGGATCCCCTATAGACCCCTTTAAAAGGACCCCTTAAAGGAGCCCTACTCTACCTACTTATTTAAAGGACCCCTTAAAGGAACCCTATTCTAACTAATTATTTAAAGGACTTTTTGCAGGAACCCTATTCTAACTAGTTATTTACAGGACCCCTTAAAGCAACCCTATCCTAATTATGAAGGCCCCTATAGGAGGCTTCGACGATCTATTTTGTAGGAATCCTGGGCCTTGGATCTTCGTCAAGAAATGCTGCAGCAAGGGCTCGAACCCCGAGTCACCTTCGGCCCCGAAAGTCCCACCTTCACCCTGAAGAACCTACCTTCTTAAGGACTTATATAAGGAAATCATAATCGGGAACCCTAAAAAGGTAGGTTCTTCAGGGTTAAGGTAAGGTTTAGATGTTTAAGGTTTGCAATAGAACAGGGTTTAGGGTTTTGGGTTTTTCGGGTTTATATCCCGAAACCCTGATGAAACCCTGAAGCCGTAAACCGCCAAACCGACGAAAGGAGATCGAGGAGCAAGTGCCGGTGGCAGCCGCTTTGGCAGCTTCCATTTTGGAGGAAATGTACCCGAAACCCGAAACCCGAGACCCTAAGCCCAAAGAGAGTTTTGTAGTTAGGGGGCCCGGGAACTTTGAACTCTTGAAGCAAACACAGCATTGAAACCCTAAACCCAAAAAACCCTAAATTAGCATGCACCCTGCTCCTGAATCCGAAGCCTCTTCTCACAAACCCTTGGGCAGCCCTGAGAGCCCTGAGCCTTAAACCTGAGTCTGGAAGTCTCTTCCCAGCGTCCTTTACAATCAAACAGGCTGGGCGCAGATCCTAAACCCTCAACTTCTAAACAACTCTAGGCCACAAACCCCGGCAGCCAAAATCGCGCGAAACCGCAAACCCCAAAGCCCAAAGCCGAAGCCCCAAAACGGCATAAGGCCCCAAAATTTGTCCACCCTCTCAAGGTTTTCCGGGTGCTGATGATCAAGGTGGCAGGAAAGGCTGAGGAGCCGCCGAAAGCTGCCTTTGCGGGGGGCAAGATGCATCTGCGCTTCATGTTGGGGTGTTCTGTGGGGTTTAGATTTGCTTTGTGGGCTTAGGGCTTACGGGGTTCAGGGCTTTTAGGGTTTATGGGGTCTAGGGTTTGTAGGATGCAGGGTTTATGCCTAGGGTTGATATCGGGCTTAAATCAGGGTTTGCAGCATTTTGGGCAATTTCTGGGGCTTAGGGTATTCTGGTTCCAAAAAGTGTGGTTATACAAACTATGCGGCATAGATGCTACTGTTCGGGTTAAAGCGATTTGATGGGGTAGCCGTGCGATTTTTCTTGCCGTAGTTTAGTAAGTTAACTTCAGGGGCGTTGTATCATAGGTCTTAGGTGATATAAGGTTGATTTGAGGTTGTCGCTTCCGCGGAGGTTTGAGTTCTCATCAAGTGAACACGGAAGAATAGTAGGTACCTCGATATGAAAACGACCCCTCAACAAATTAACTACAAAACAGAACTACGCACAAAAAACAAGGTTCCGTATATACTAAATACTAAGAGAACTACCAGGTCGGCTCTGTAGAGAAACCCCCGAAGCCCCATATCTGTAGTCTCTGTTGTACGTCTTTTATTCGGGCCAACCAACCTTAATGTTAGGATCCTATGATATATATATATATATATATATATGTATGTATGTATAGCTTTTTAAAAACCGAAAGAAGGAATCCAGGAACTACAGAGCTTATTTTGAGCAGACTAGATAAAATTTGGTTGAACAGAAAGAAGGAACCACAACGCAGAGTTCAGACTAGCTACAGCTTGTTTCGAACCTCTTCGCTGCCTAGGAAGCTAGGACCTGGAGTAGGCCCGTAATTATTCTTTTGTTGAGGGTTCCGGTTTCCTTACAAGCTCCTTTAGAGCCAAAAAGGGCAGTCTAGCAAGGCTTCGAAGCCGAAGCTCGAGCTTGAGACCAGTCGTGGTAATTCGTTTTCAGCCCTACGCCATACCTTCACCCCACCCAGAAAAGCTCAAATATTGAGGGTTAAGGTATCAATTTAAGTCTGAACCCAAGGCTCCAAAACTTGCCCCGAGCCCCAAACCCTAGAGTTACTGGGCCTTGGTCATTAGGGTTTAGGGTTTAGGGTTTAGGACCATTATAGGCACTCTAGATTAGAGTGCCTATGAAGGCCTTGGCCTACGGCACCAAGAAGCCCTTATGGAATCCTTCCAGAGCCCCTAAAGTAAAAGCCAGAAAGTTGGAATATGATTATCCTAACCCTTCTATGGTAAATTATAGGGTATCCTACCATGAAACCATATTCCAACTTTCTGGAGTTCCCTCTAAGTGACCCTAGTATAGTACCCTAAATAGTAGGATCCTTATTATAAGGACCCCCAAATTCCCTGAAACCATATTCCAACTTTCTGGAGTTCCCTGTATGCCCTGATAGAGTATTTGATCGCAGCGCACCTGAGACCATTTGCGCCTAGACTCGACGAAATCGGGGAAAACCCTTATAGAGACCTAGCGGTTTAGGGTTTGGGGGACTTTTAGATTTGAGGAGTTTGGGGGGTTTAGGAATTTAGGGGCTTACTTGGAGGTTCATGGGCAGTTGTAAGTAGTGTTATACCGAGGCCTACGCTCATCTGCACTATGTCCAATGGCCGGGAGATGGAACGCCTACCGCTCTCGGGCAGAGAACAGACAGGGAGGCAGTTAAGGGGGAATGGACCCCAAAATGAACTACAATGCAGACTATATATGTGACTATAGGAAGGGCTTATAGGGTTTATCTGGCTTAAGGGCTTAAGGTGTGGGGTTTTGGGGATGGGAATTGCGCTCCAGGGCTTCAGGGCCACTGTAAGGAATGCTCCATGCCTCACCATATGAATTGATGGTAATAGGTCCAGGAGTTTGATTCTCTGGGGTTGTATTTTCGTTTCACTGCAGCCGTAATTGGGAATGCTGATTTCTTCTTGCGGCTGCAGCCCTGAGCACGATCAAGTACGCAAAGTGGGATTTCAGATTCTCCGGGCCCAAATGCTGGATTTTGTTCCAGCCGCAGGGTCCACGCCGCAACTCCATCCCTTTGAAGTTTCGAAAAGATTTGAAGTCCAAACCCGAGAAACACGCAAATCTTATGACCCGCAACTCTACAACCCTAAGCCCTGAAAAAGCTTATAACCCTGGAAGCCTCAAAAAGCTCTATAGAAGCCTTAATTAATGCAATATAACTCTTAACAAGATACTCTAGGAACCTGAGTAAGAAACCTTGGGTCTTAATCAGGTTCCTACATTGAAGGACATCCGTTTCGGGGCCCCTTATACTATAATCATAACAAGGGACCCCCCAAAATAGTATAGGTATCTATACATCCGAAACTCCCTAAGGGTCCAAAGTACTGTTATGGGGATACTTCCCCAAATCACAATAGTAATTCCTAATATAGAAACCCTACATTCTACTATATCGATACTTTGGACCCTTTGGGACTGCCGGAAGCGATGACGAGGATCTCCCAACGCTCGCTCCCACTGGGCCCGCAAACAACGGTGGGCCGAGAGCATCAGCAGGAGCCCGATAAGTCTTCCCCATAAAGGGGATCCTTTAAGGGTTTAGGGTTTGAAGGGTTGAAGGGTTTAGGGTTTGCAAGTGCACAGGCCACTTGGTTCTTCCTGCTCATGTCTGGCATGCAGAACGCAGCGCAGGCACGTATCACAGCTTTTCGGATCAGAATCATAGAAGGGAACAGCGGAAAATAGCGCCGTTCGACCGCGCCATTCAATCTGCCTGTAACCTGCGATTCGTTGTGTCCGCTCACTGCTTGGGAACAGAAGCTACCACATCAGAGCTGCCATCACTTGCATGGTAGCGGAGCCCGGTCTTTGAGGACCGGGTTCCAGATCCAGGGACCTTGAACAACGCTTGGACCTGTGCTACCGGTCCGAGACTCCAAGGATGGCAGCTGCATCTGTGTCACGTGGACGTGACGGGATACCAGCATGGGACGGGACCCCGTCCAGTTTTGAGGAGTATTCTGAGCAGTGTTTGATCTATGAGCAGAGCACCCCGACATACAAGCGCTACTTGGTGGGACCCAAGCTGATTGGGGAGCTGTCTGGCGCAGCCAAGCGGCTGATAGCAGGCCAACCGGCCACCTGGCTATCCCATGATGAGGGAGTGAACACCCTGCTGCGTCACCTCAGGGCTTGCCTGGGACGTCCTCAGATTCCAGAACTGACAGAACATTTGAATCGCTACTTCCGCCAAGGACGGCGCAAGCCACAGGAGTCGATGAATGAGTACATCTCCAGGAAGTGCGAAGTGTATCTGAGGGCATGCCAGGCCATGCAGCGTGTGGCACCCTATCATAAGGACTCCGCCAAGGCCACCAACCAGGCCACGACGACTCCGCGGACCTGGTCTCAAGGTGGCTACGGGGGATATGCTGGGACAGGCTGGTCGTGGGGCGGCTACCCGGGCGGCTACGGCTATCAGGACTGGCAGGATCACCAGGCCTGGAACACAGCGAGTCGCCGGAACAGCACGGACACCAATGCCTCCGATCGGGGAAGTGAGGCAGAGGCTCCCGCAGCCACACAGGCAGCGGCACCCGTGCCATCAGCGGCCACCACCAATACCGATGATGATGCCAGCGAACGCAGTGATCACAGCTGGCAGCAACGAGAGTGGTGGCACTGGCAATGGGCACCATCGTGGGGAAACAGCTCGCGCACAACCACTCAGGCAGCGGCTCTACCTGAGTTGCTGCCCGAGTTCATACAAGGGTGGTATCTTCTTCAAGATGCCGGGTTGACCCCGGCAGAACGGAACCTCATCCAGACCGCGGTGCAGAACGACTTCTTGCTGCAGCGAGTGGCGCAGGAACTTCGTTCACAATTTCATGACATTGATCAGCACCGTCGGGACCACCGCCCGACAAGTTATCTCGGCACCGTGGACGAGGAGGATGAGCTTGAGGAGGAGGGCGCAGCGGACGATGGCTTCGCGGCTGAGGACCTGGACCCCGAGGACCTGGCGATGTGGACGGAGGCCGCGCAGGACATTGAGCAAGCCTGCGCAATCATTCAGAATGCAAGGCGTACGCTCAAGGAAGCGAGGGCCAAGCAATCGGCAGTACGCCTGGCCAGGAAATACTACAAGCCGGGAACCTACCAGAAGCCACGTGACGACTCACAGATGATCTGTCTGAAGTGTGGAGTAAAAGGGCACCGGGCAGCGAACTGCACAGACAGTTCGAAGAGTGCCTCCTCAGGTGCGACCCAATCCGCACCGTTCGTATGCTTCTCCGATCAGGCACTCGCCACCGGCGAGACCGAGGAGCAGGCCCTGCTGAGCACGCGTGAAGCAGTGAAGAGTGGATACGCGGTGATTGATGGCGGTGCCACAAGAACCTTAGGAAGTGTAGCCGCGATCCAGAACGTGATGGATATCAATGCCCAGAAGTATGGGGAATCAAGGGTGCTATCGGTGGACCTGGCAAACCAGCCAGTTTTCGGCTTTGGCAACTCAACGGAAAACCGTTGTGCAAGCACGGTGGAGCTGGGCATCAGCGCCGGCGATCGGGCCGGCCAGCTCACCATCCACGCCCTTGATCGTGGGGACAGCCCAATCCTGTTATCAGTGGCGTCATTGCGCTCTTTGGGCGCAATCATAGACTTCTCGGAGGACCTGGTTTGCTTCCGACATGTGGACCCAGGTCGTATCCTCTCCGTGGAGCGATCCACGACAGGCCACCAGCTGCTTCCCCTGACGGAGAACCTCTACAAGAATGCCAAGCCGACAAATCGTCCCGTGCCAAGTTTGGCAGAGTATGTACAGATCTCGAAAAACGAGTAGGGACAACGCGCTTCCGACTGTTCGCCTGGCGGGAAAGAAGCGACAATGAGTTTTTCAGGCAGTGGGGGCGTTGCAAAGCAATGCCAACTGAATCCGAGAAGCATTTCCAGTCATGATGATTGTGTGATGAGTGAGGGTGATAATGATGAGGGTTGTAAATTAGATGACATGAGGAACCGTGGACTTGAGAGCCGCCGTCTCTCAAACGAGGGCCCATCGAACAAGTCAGCAGGAGCTCGGAGGCGTGTCTCGTTTCTCAGCTCACATCATGGCGATCCAGAAGATGAAGAAGGCCGAGCTGCAGAGCAAGCTCCGGGAGTTGGGCGAGGAACCGCCCATCAAGTGGACCAACAAAGAGCTGGCCCAACGGATCCTGGAGCTCGAGCCGTCTTTGGGGGAGAAGAAGGGCAAGCAGCGCACCGATCTCCAGGCGAAGATCAAGGATCTGGGAGTGGCAGCGCGCAAGAAGAGCACGCTGACCACGTTCTGCAAAGAGATCGGGGTGGACCTCAGTGTGAACCACAACATGTGGTCCATGGAACAGGCAGCCCTTCGCCGCCTGTACGACATCAGCACGCCTGCAGCCGACGATGTTGTGGGTTTCGGCCAGCACAGCGCCCTGCTGTACCGCGACATCCTGGTGCTCCACCCGACTTACAAGGATTGGGTGATGAAGACAGCGGCGAGCACAACCTCGACGTCGGACTATCGCCTCCTTCGCCTCGCGACCTGGTTGGAGCAGCAGACCAACGAGGAGATCGAGCTGTACAAAAGCCAGGAGCAGCCCAAGAAGGCAGTTCCCAAGGCCAAGGGATACGCTGGCCCGGCAGCCAGTTCATCAACAGAGGTGCCGATGGAGCTCCTCCAGAGCATGATGCAATCCCTGCAGAGCCTACAGCAGGAGGTGATGGAGATGCGCGCAGAGCGGCCACGCAAGGAGGTGCGCGGCAAGAATGCGGAGACCAAGCCGATCGAGCCGGAGGGCGGAGCGAAGCCAACGTCGGGTTGAGGACGGGGCCAGCGGTCTCGGCCTGTGATGATGTATTAGCCTCAGAGCTTGGGCCGGGGACCGAGGAGACAGGTCAGTACCTCAGTAAGGAATCTGCCTCCCACTTAGAAAACAAGGCCTGGACCCTAGTTCCTCAGATCTTTCAGGACCTGGTTTCTCAGTCTCGGCCCATGCTCCTAGAAGTGACCGGCCCCACTGAGGGCCAGTTAGCACGTACAGTACAAGACGAGATGGGACAGGCCAATGCGGCCATCCAGTGCGGAGACTGGAATGGTCATGATCTCAGCACGGACGCTGGAGTCCGCAGTCTTTTGGAAAAGATTGCCACGCTACAGCCGCTACATGTCTGGTTGAACCCTCCTAGTGCAGCCTTCAGTCCCTACCAAAACGCGAACCAAAGAACGGAGGCCCAAACCGAGGAGTTACAACAAAAGAAGCAAACATGCATGCGTGCGTATGTTGGAAGCCAAATCGTCATGGACGCGTGTATACAAAGAGGCATACATGTGACATGGTGTATGTATGAGCACTCCAATGCGTGGCGACTGCCCCTTTTGCAGAAGCTTAGCAACCGCCAAGGTGTTCATAGCTGCGTCACTAAGGGTTGTCGCATGAACCTCAGAGGGCCAGACGGCCACCAACTGTCCAGGAAGGGATGGAAGCTCCTTACGACGCACCAGCGGCTGGCCGAGCTGCTACACGCGCCCTGTGCGTGCCACAAGGGCTACCGACATGCTGCCGTGAGCACGGCCATCGGGGCTGGGGTTTTTACTTCGGAGTACTGTAAGAGGGTCGTTCAGGCTTTAGCGCAGGAGCATAACTACGTGAGTTTGTTGAGTGAGCTGCAAGGGAAGCCGTCGCTGCCGGAAGAGTTTGGCGGGGGTTTGTTCTGCGTTTGTGATAGGAACGACAGAAACTGTCGAACGACGCCATGTCACATGTGTATGTGTCAGGCAACCTCAGAGGGACCCAGCGCAGAACTACAGGCCCAGGCTTCTAGTGAAGGAAAGCAGCCTCCAGAGATTCAAACAGGCCCCGAGAAGTGTAAAGAACGCATGGAACCCAAAACCAACGAGGACCCCGACGACGACACAGGAGACGACGACACCGCGTTGTATTGTCAAGCCGAACTGGAGCAAGCCGAAGCCTGTGCGGAACGGCTGCTTGAAGCGAGAGACTTTAGCTACAAGGGTTGTGAGGAGTTAGTGCGACACCTCCCACAGCACAACACAGCCCAGAGGCCTATGGTAAAGGCTCCCGAGGACCCCAGGAAGCTCCGTGGCTACTTTACTTTCGGGCTGTACTCGTACGGTAGCTTTTCTGGTGTCACCCGCAACACGTACCGTATGGCGAAGTGTCACAAGTACTTTAGTCGTTTTCTCCAACAACAACTGCCCAGGGAACAAAAGTTTACGTCGTATGTGATAAGCAGGAACATGCAGATGCCCTTCCATAAGGACAACCACAATGACGATGCCTACCCAAACTGCGTTCTAGGCCTAGGCAACTACACCGGAGGCCGACTGTGGGTAGAGCATCTAGGAACGGAACCGGTCACCAAACCTGTCAACAAGGTGACGCCAGATGGTCAAGAACGAATTGGCCAGTGCTGGAACACCAAGCACCAGATGGTGCACTTCCCACCCAAGGCCTGGCATGGGGCCGAAGTGTGGCAAGGAGAGCGGTTTGTGGTATCGTGCTATGTGAGCAGGGCACACCGGAGCATGAGCGAGCAGAGTCGACGTCAGCTTGTTCAGGGAGGGTTCAGGGTGCCACCTAGGATCCCGAGTAGGCCCCAGATCCTGGCCGCCAGTGAACAGCCCCTGAGCAAACAGGAGCGGGAGAGAGTGAAGAAACAACTGTATTTACTGCACGCTGCGACTGGTCATGGTAGCAACCGTAGCTTAATCGAGGCCCTCCGAAGGCGCAAGGTGCACCCCGAGGTTCTCGAATTGGCCCAGAGTTTCCAGTGCCCCGTGTGTCAAGAACGTAGGAAGGTCCAACCACGACACCTTGCCTCCCTGGAACCCCTTCCCCCAAAGTGGCAGTGCATTAGTGCGGACATAGGGCATTTTTACAATTCTGAGCGGAAGGAACATGTCCAGTTTATGATGATCGTGGATGAGGGATCAAGATTTCGAGCTGCTCGAGTGCTCACATCTGGGCTGAAACAACAGCCCTCAGCAGCAGCATGTCTAGAGTACTTACGCGATGGATGGATACCCTACTTTGGAAGTCCACAGACCATACGCCTGGACCCAGCAGGCGCCTTCCGGGGATCCGCACTAGAAGATTTTTGCGATCGCCACCAGGTGTATCTGGATGTGATTCCAGGCGAGGCCCATTGGAAGTTGAGTGCAGTGGAGCAAGCAATTCAGGGTGTTAAGACTTTGATGGGCAAACTGGTGGCAGAAGATCCAGAGCTTGAGACGCGAGAGGCGCTAGCAACGGCAGTTCGAACATTCAACCAACGAGAAATCATTCGAGGGTTTTCCCCAGTACAACACGCTCTGGGCCAGAGCCCCGATGCTTCAGGACGATTAGACTTCTCAGGCAAGGCAGTGCCGCCAGAGCTGTTAATCGAGAACCCCAACGGCGAGTTCAGTCGCAACGTAGAGCGTCAGCGCGTGGCTGAACAAGCCTTAGCAGACTGGCAGGCGCAGCAGCGACTGTCAAGGGCTCAGAGTTCTCGAGGACGCAGGGTGCTGAACTTCACTCCAGGGGAGCTCGTGTTCTTTTGGAGATCACAGGTGAGCGGGCAGTCCCGCAAGCAACCGGGGGACAAGAAGGGACAGTTCCTCGGGCCCGCCAGGATCCTGGCGACAGAGACAAAGCGGAACGAGGACGGCACCTTGCAACCCAGTTCGTCAGTGTGGCTGGTCAGAGGGCGCAGCTTGATTAAGTGTGCGGCAGAACAAATCCGCCGCGCGTCCAGCCGCGAGGAGCTCATTGAGTCGCTGGACCAAGACAATCAAGTGCCCTGGACGTTCACACGAGTCGCTGAGGAGATCGGCGGAAACCGCTATCAAGATGTGACGGAAGCAGTTCCTGAGGAAGAGTGGGTTCGAGCACAGGATGTTGAACAAGTCGAACCCCCAGTGCGACGGAGGCTGGGACACAAGCGGCCCTTGGAGCAGGCCACAAGCCACAGGCCTGTGGCACAGGCTGCGGCAGGATCGCAGCCCTCTTCCTCAGTTCGCGCACGGCCCTATCCTCCCACGAGTTCGGAGAAGGGTCACCAGTGGTGGTCAGAAGTACAGGACGCCATGTGGGGCGATGAGGTGAGCTACTGGTCCGACGAGGCGGCAGCGGTGAGTGTGGAACTGGAACTGCCGACGGGCCCAAAGCAGCTACAACAGGCGTGCCGAGACCTGCCCACTTACTTCGTCGGTTGCATGAAGCGGCGAGCCATAGAAGTCAGCGAGAAGCGGATGTCCGATGAGGAGCGCAAGCTCTTCCGGGAGGCAAAAATGATTGAGGTGAAGAACTTCGTGGCGGCAAAGGCGTTCGAGACATTGCCGGAGGCCCTTAAACCACCCAAGGAGGTTGCAGTGGGTATGAGATGGATCTTGACTTGGAAAGTGAAGGAGGACGGAACCTCCAAGCCGAAGGCCAGGGCGGTCCTGCTTGGGTATCAAGACCCGTCGTATGAACACCGTGCCACAACGGCACCGGTCATGACGCGGCAGACGCGTCAACTGGTGTTACAGGTCGCAGCCAACAAAGGCTGGTCCGTCGCCAAGGGCGACGTCTCTGGAGCATTCTTACAAGGCCGGGAGTATCCAGACAAGCTTTACTGCATACCTTGCCCTGAGATTTGTGAAGCACTTCAGATCCCAGCAGACTCGGTCACACGCTTGCGTCGCGCATGCTACGGCTTGGTGGACGCGCCACTGGAGTGGTATAAAACAGTAGATGAGTTTTTGACCGAGCAAGGCTTGGAACGATTGTGGTCAGATGCTTGTTGTTGGGTCTTGAGAGACAATGGCCAGGTGGTAGGCCTGATATCAGGCCATGTAGATGATTTTCTGTTTACTGGTTGCGAGAGGAATGAAAAGTGGAAGCGAGTCATTGAGGCCATTCAGAAGCGCTTTAAATGGGGAGACTGGGACCGGGACGAGTTCGTCCAATGTGGGGTGCAAATCAAACGAGTGAGCGATGGCTTTGAATTGACCCAGGTCCGCTACATTGAAACATTGAAGTGCGCAGCAAATTGGGCCACACCTGAGTGCTGAGGTCAGCTTACTCTTGTCTGAGGTGTCTCAGAGTCAGGTCTCCACGATCGGCAAGACCAATGCGTGTCTCAGACGAGCGCGGGCCCACAAGGCACATGCAATGAAGATTCACGCCTTCACACAAGGCGAAGAGCTTGGCATGTTTGGATGGGTTGATGCTGGGAACCAGAATAGGGTTGATGGTTATAGTACCCAGGGAATCTTCGTAGGCCTGGCACCAGTGACGATGCTTCAAGGTGCACTGTGTCGCGTCACACCAGTGACGTGGCACAGTAATCGCATCGACCGCGCTTGCCGGTCTCCTGGGGCCTCTGAGGCCCAAGCGGCGGTGAACGGAGAGGACGCTCTGTTCTTTGCCCGCTACCAATGGTACGAGATTATGCATGGCTGTGTAGATGCAAGGGCCCCAGCTCAGGCGGTGCGCCAGATTCCTGGTTGTCTCATCACAGACAGCCGGAATGTTTATGATCGCTTAAACACTGCTGTACTTAGCATCAAGGGCGCTGAGAAGCGGACGAACATTGAGCTGATTGCACTTAAAGAGAGTCAGGAGCAGACCGGACTCATCATGCGATGGGTCCACTCCGAGGCCCAACTTGCAAATGCTTTGACAAAGGCATCTACGTGTCGAGAGCTGGAGTTATACTACGGCATGAATCACTCGTGGAAGATCGTCGAAGACCCCCAAATGCAGTCGGCCCGACGGCGAAAGGCTCAGGGCAAGGAACCTCTGTCATCTAATTAGAGTCGAATGATGATGAAATGACTGGAAATGCGACTCCGGGGAAGCAGGTGGGATGCAAGTGCACAGGCCACTTGGTTCTTCCTGCTCATGTCTGGCATGCAGAACGCAGCGCAGGCACGTATCACAGCTTTTCGGATCAGAATCATAGAAGGGAACAGCGGAAAATAGCGCCGTTCGACCGCGCCATTCAATCTGCCTGTAACCTGCGATTCGTTGTGTCCGCTCACTGCTTGGGAACAGAAGCTACCACATCAGAGCTGCCATCACTTGCAGGGTTTAGGGTTTTAGGGTTTAGGGTTGAAGGGTTTAGGGTTTTAGGGTTTAGGGTTTTAGGGTTTAGGGTTTTTTAAGGGTTCCCATACATAGAAGGGATCCTGGAACGGTTGTTTAAGGGTTCCTAAAGGGGAGTTTCCGAAAGTTAGGGGTCCTTACAGCTATTTAGGGTGCTGTATAAGGGTCCCCTATTTTGTGAAAAGCCCATACAGACCCTTTTAATGGTTCCCTTGAAGGATCCCTTTTGTTTGCTTTAAAAGTTCGTTTTTTGGGGGTTCCTTTGAGGGTGCACAGGACGTGTCTGAAGGGGTTCGTATCGAGTTCTTTAAGCGTTCCGCATGGCTTCTTTCAGGGATTCTTCTAAGGGTCCCGCAGCCGCAGACCCAAGAATTAGATACTTGGTTCTTGAATAGTCGTTTCGCAAGGTGTGTTGGGCCCTTAGTGAAGGGAGAGTTTTCGGGTCGAGGGGAGCAGTCGTTGGGCCTTCGTACGCCTTGCCGCCGCATTCGAGTTTCCGCCAGAATGTCTCGCCTTCTTGCCCTCTTTACCATGTAGCGAATTTAGGGAAGGGGCAGGAGAATCCCAGGAGTATACAGTGCTTTAGGGGTTCAAGGGGTGTAGAACACATCCCAGGGCATGGGTCTCCTGTCTCCTTGCATGCTACTGTTTGTGTGGCACTCACTACACCTTGAGCTTTGAACAATGAAGTTAAAACTCGATGAAAGCACCATGGAGGAGTTTTTCGAGGCAGTCCTTGGCCATCACAGTCCCTACTGGACGGATGCCCAGCTGCATTGAGGATGTCTCGTGAACACTTGAGCCAGGCCACGACTATTAGAGCCTGGTTCGACTAAATACTTCCTCCCAAAAGCAGCATGTCATGATGTCGTGATGTCATGACATATCCACAATCCCGACTGGTGCACCAAGAACCACCCTAAGGCCGTAATGACAGACAGAAATGCAATGTCACGGTCAACAGACCTGAGGCTCTGAGCCATTTGCGGCTTGAAGCCTGAAGTCTGAACACAGGGTCCATTGACCATGGACAGCTTGCCGAGTTTGCAGAAGGATTTGCCTGCGAGGTTCTGGGTTGTTTTACTTTGATTAATATGTACGGTTGAGAGTTGAAGGTTGGCATTTCGTATTTAGGAACGTAAGGTTAATCATTTAGTATTTAGGAACTAGTCAGCAGAGCTGAGGCGATCTCCCGCAGCCACCTGGAAATCGCCCAAGTCGCCGACACCTTCCTCGTCCGGCCGCTTCGCTTGACATGGATGCAGAACTGCAGACCCCAAAGCTTTCAGAAGCTTTCATCGAAGCTTAGAGCCGTTGAAGGATGCGGTATTATTTTGGGACCTGAAACGGGACCTTACCTTAGAGAACCACATGTATCGAGGTTGCAGTTTCGGTTCTCAGAGCGATCCCAGGAGGGAGCCGAAGTCCCGTCCTAGCCTTGGTTTAGGGTTTAGGGCAATTGTAGTACCTCGTGTGTTTTGGTCACCTTATTCTCGCATTCTAGGAAGCCACACTTCAGGGATGGAAAGTGTGGTGGGAAGCTTTCTTATTGTGGCCCCAGAGACTGCGCCCCGACAGTTTCTGAAGCTTGCGAGGAATCTCAGCGTCAACCACGTGATGGTTGGTGCCTGGTCACCGATTGGGTTTTTTTGAGTTTAGAGTTCCAGGGTTATAGGATTTAGGGGGCATTGAGAGGTGAATCAGCGCCACCGGCGTCACCTACTCCTCGGCATTTTTGTCCCGCAGACCCCTGTTTGATTCACTCCCAACCCGCAAGACGCTGGTGTGGTTTGTTGCAGGGAATCCCTGGTGCCGAGCTTGGGGGCCTTTGGGTTATGTTGCTTTGGTTTGCGATCGCTGGGCTTCAAATGACGGGTCGCACCGAGGCGGTAAGCAGCTGCAACGCGGGGAGCAAGGCACTCTGCAGGCACTGCCCGGCCAGATCTTGAAGGTTTTGGGTTGTGGGTTGTGGCTCCAAAACAAAGGAGGCCCATGAATCCTATGAACCATGAAAGAGAGTTGCAGTCTGCAGTTAAGTGTGTGTAACCCTCCCGGCATGCAAACCTGAAGCAACACTCCTACATCTGACAGAACCGCAGAGTTCAAGGCCTCACGGAATCCTGCGTCACCTTCTTGAAGCCTTCGTAATATAGGGACCTAAATAATTACCAAGACTATTTTGGAGGCTCCTTCTTACAATTATAGACTAAGGCCCAAAACCCTATTCTAATTCATAAGGCCCCTACATCAACCTTCGTAAGGCCTCGTTGCTTGAAAGTCTGCTGGCTTCAACAGCATGTGTGGATCTTCGGATTTCCCGACTTCACCCTCAACCCTATCGTGACCCCGACCACCGAGACCCTACTGCACCTACACCCTAATCTTGAAGCCTCTCTCCAGGGTTCAAGGGCACGGAAATCTAAGGATCTAAACCCAAAGCCTCTCCAAAAACACCTTGGACACCCCATAAGCCCTCCATCCCAGTCCCCTTTCTCAAGAAATATAATTCTTGACAACCCCGTCATCCACACATACACAAACACAAACGGTCAAAGATAACTGCTGGAAGCCAGGCCAAGGGGCAGATCGACTTCCTGGCCGTGCCTCCGGGCACGGGCGGAAAGGTGCACATAACGTCGGAGCTGCAGGGCTTAAGGGGTTTAGGCTTTAGGGGTTTTTAGGGTTTAGGTGGTTGGGGTTGGGTATCAGGGGCGACCTTAACCCGGGATAACCTACCGTTTTAGGGACTTATATAAGGACAACATAATCAGGAACCCGAAAAGGGTATAGGTTATTCAGGGTTAAGGTATGCAGGGTGTGCTTTCAAGGGGTCTGTCATTAGTGTGTCTATAGGGGTTGGGATTTGTTTTGCGTTTTGCCTCTGCGGTCCGGGGGCAGGGATTATTCTCTGGAGTTCCAGCGCATTGTGCTTTAGGCGTTTGGGCTTTGAGGCTTCCAGGGCGTCTACATGTAATTTTAATAGCAGAAGACTATAGCAGGCAGTTCAGAGTCTAGAGCACGGCGGCTTCCAGGGGGCATCTTGCCAGTCAGTATTCATTACGGTACTTTGTTTAAGGTTTAAAGGCTTTGGGGTTGAAGGTTTATATGGTACTTGAGAAATAGTGCACTGAACCTAACCGACACACCGGGCACCGCGAAGCGACGCAAACTCTCAAGCATCCTGCCGCCCGAGAAGTCGGGCTCTTTACAAGAAGGACCAAACACGCCTACGTCGGACCACGTTTGGGGTTGACAGTAATTGAGAAGTGCCGAAGTTGGTCTATTTGCAGCCCAGGGTCGTCAGAACAAGCTTCAGTACGAAAGAAAGCCTTTCTGATGAAGGTGCCCCAGTGCTTCTTGCGCTTGGAATTAGCCTCTTGGCTGCAATTCTCATATCTTCTCATTTTGGGGCTTCACCTGAGTTGGCTTCACCACGAAATTCCTTGCCCTTTTGCGCCGAACCAGAACCACAAGGTTTAGATCAACAAGCCTTATATGACAAGAACCCAAGATCTTATTTTGTTAGTGTTTGGCTTTATTTGTGTTTAAAAGTTGTTTTTGTATTCAAAAGTTTTTTGTATTTAAAAGTGTTTTCGTATTTGAAAGTTTTATATATTTATTTTTTTTGCATTTTAAAGTTTTTACAAGTCTTTTATTTTCTTTTTGGTGTAAAAAATACATTGTTGTGAATTCTAAGTTTTTGTTTGTGATTGAGTCAAACGGCTTCCTGTTGTTCTACCTGGTTTCCTGCTGCTGTATGTCTACAAATTTGTTGTTTATTCGTGTTTGAAGTTAATATTTAAGATTTCTAAATAGTTTTGGTTGTGATTGAACACAGAAGGGAGGCCGTTGTGACATGTTGACTTGCCTTGAGACCTTGCAACCTTACCCACACGGATCGACTGCCCATCTCGGTTCGTGGACACCGTTGGCCGGGTGTCAGGTGTTGTCGATGGTACCTGGACCGCCTTGGGGCCAACGTGCCAGGGCAGCGGTCTTTCAAAGTTGTTTTTTGTATCTTACAGCTTTTAAAAGTATTTAAAAGTTTTTTATTTTAAAATTTTTAGAAGTCTTTTTTTATTTTTTGTATTTTAAAGTTTTCAAAAGTTTTTATTTTCATTTTTTATTTTCAAGTTTTTACTAGTCTTTAAAAGTTTTTTGTATTCAAAAGTTTTTAAAAGTCTTTAAAAGCCAACTCTGTCGAAAAAGCCCTGTGGATCTAAACCTTGTGGTTCTGGTTCGGTAAAAAAGGGCAATGAGAAATCGGAGAGCAAGACATCCCCAAATGCATACCTAGACATCCCCAAACGTGTACCCAGAGTAACGGTAAATGTAGCTGGTTCTTAGGGTCATATCCCATCTGTTAAATGGTACCCCGAGGGTCATGTATTTTTTCAAAGGTACACCGGCTGCTCTCTAGGTACATGAACATTTCAACATATAAGAATATTACTATTATTGAGGGATTGGTTATTATTATCATTTAATAAGTCCGTTAATATCTTTCTCATTGGTTAATCCATCTTTATTATTCTTTTTCAACCTCAAAGAGCCAAAAGCCCCAATTCAGAAGGCTCCGGGTTTTCAAGGTATGCGGGCCAAGTTCTCCCATGTGCAGGAAGTAGAGATGCTGTGCAGATCCATTAGGGTTTATGCACCCGGTAGGGCTTCGAGTATTATAGGGGCCCAAATAAATACCAATATTTCTG